CCAAGGAGGAGAATAAGACGACCAAAGCCTACTAACCAAACCACAACTCGAAAGAATAATTTTCAAAAAGGGAGTGTGCTCACGGCTATGGAAACAAATACAAAGTCAAAATAACACGGCTGCAATAAATTCGGAACTACAAGGAACAGAACAGATCCAGCTGAAACGCAATAAATAAAGGCTGAAGAAAATCACAGCAAATAGGAAAGTGCCAGGCAATTAAAAGCGATGAAAGCAATTCAAGAAAAGATGACAGAGAAGGAAAACCAATATGAGAATAATTACCATCCAAAAAGTAATACAAGAAAATTTCCTTAAAACGAAGGACAAACAGAACCTGCAGGTTGGAAGCTTTTTTTAGGAAAAACCCGGAATGACCATCACCAAACACTCCCTGGGCTGGCAGACTGAAGCCAGTTCTTTAGGAATCCAGTCCCCTCTCCCCCAAAACAGTCATCTACAAAATGGGAAAACAAGTTGGGTGGCCTCGGATGTGCCCAAAGCCATATTCAGGGCGAGAAGATAATCCAACACCCCCACGGACAGGAGGAGAAAGGGAATTGGGACTCAGAAACAGGAAACAGAACAAAGAGCATTCGAGCTGAAGGGGAAACGTCAACATTTTCAAAATACAGTCAATCCTCATTATTCACAGATGCCGTATTTGGGGACGCGCCTACTATTCGTAACCCCCAAATCAATACTTCACACCCTTTCGTGATCATCTACAGACACGCACAAAGCAGCAAAAAACGTGAGGCTGCACACGGCACTGCTCCGCCCCTTGTTTCGGCTCATGCTGTAAACGAGCGTCGTCACTGGAGTCTATTTAGTGACACATTTTTCACACTTCCTGTGCTTTCTGTTGGTGATCTCACCATTTACAAGGGCCCCAAGGAAGTGCCGAAGCGTCCACAGTATTCCTACGTGAAACGCAAGTGTTAGAGAAGCTTCGTTCAGGCGTGAGTGACATTAGTGTTGGCTGTGAGTTCAGCCTTAATATATCAACAGTACATACTAAATTAGGTGCCTTTAAACAGAAGCACACATAAAATAAGACTATGCATTGACTGGTTGTCGAAACATGATCAGAGGCTTGCAGAACCTAACCCTAGGGGACCCTAGGAGCGATGGCTCAGTACTCTCTACGCCAGTGTCCATGGTGACTTTATAGAACACAAGTACTGCAAACAATGAGGACTGACTACACGTTCACTAAGGAAGCTCTCCCCTCTTCCTAACATCTAACTCCATCCAATCAAGGGGCAAAACAAAATAAGGAACTGCAAAAAGCAAAGGCCGTTGCAAAGGCTGGCAGTGGGTATTTACCCCTGGAAGGAGACGAAGCGACTCCAGTCCTGGGAGGCACCATGGACACTAAGTGTGCTGGACGGTGACCCCCTGCAAGTAGCTCCGTACCCATCAAGAGTCAGAAGGTGGGGGAAGAGACGGGGCATGTGTGCACGTGTGCATGCAACCAGCTACTTGTTCACCAAACCGCTGTCCTTTCACTCCTGGGCTCGGAGCTGACCTGTCCTTCCAGCCTCCTGAGGGAGCCAGGGAGGGTGGGGAAGGGACGAGCCCCCTAAGTTCTCTCTCTTCCCTCCCTCAGCTTCCAGGCAGACACAGAGGACCCCACACAGGACTCCAGGGCTCCAGGGAACAGCATGGCCACCGAGTGGAAGCAGTCTGGGTCCCTGAATGTCTGCGTGGATCAGAACTTCCCACCTCGTCACCCTGCCAACCCTGAAGGACTGAGAACAAAGAAATAAAACATCTATGTGTCAAGAGCCTGAGATTGGGAGGTCTGTTTAGGACAACAATTGCCCTAATTTACCCCAAGTAATACAGGAAGAGAACAAAGTGGGGACAGAACTGCAATAAAAAACAAAAACAAATCCCAGCCTTCTGGTGTTTCATAATCGTTTTACTTTACAGACGTACTTGGAAATGGTCTCTCACGTGACAACCAATTACTAAAGTTGAGCATTTCCTTCGCTGTCTTTTTCTCCTTTTCTATTCAAATAAAATAACGTTACTGATGCTCACATATTGATGGCGTGTGTGGTTTGCGCCTGCGACCACCAGCGCGTCCTGTCCGCACGCACATCCCGCACGACCTGCGGCCGTCTGGACAGGGCTGTCGGAATGACGTGCACCAAATGTGACCGCCATGTCTGGGACTGGCATTGGTCCCTTCCTGCAGTACTTAAATTCCTTATCATAGTCGTTTATAGCTTTTGTAAGAGATGCTGAATGACAAGGAAGAAGAGAGAACACCAAGACACCACACCCACCCTCCCGAAAAGCCAAGCAGTGCTACCAGGGTGGCCCCTGGGGCCTGCAGTGTTACCAGATCAGTTCTGGGGCAGGTACCCCAAGCTTTCCCTAAAAGGTGAAGCCACTTGGCTGATCTCGCTCCTCGAGGACAAGTGTCAGCACCACCACGTCCTCAGCCCAGTTAGTGCCTCCTCCCAGAGAGAGCCAGCGGGTGCGCTGAGCAGAGGGTCCCCGCTGGGCCGAGAACTGCCTGCAGTGGGGGAAGAGAAGACACATTCAGCCCTTGCTGGGACCCGGCCTGCAGAGATGCTAAACCAAGGAGGTCCGTTAGCATCTCCATGGTGCGAAGAGACGAGACCCTGGGTGGGCACAAAGTGAGGGGGACATGGGCCGGGAGGCAGGGCCACTGTCTGTCCTGATCCCCAGCTCGGGGTCCCTTCCCCATCTTGGCCTGGGCTGGAGGTCAAAGGGGCGGGCGGAGGTGCTGGGCCTGCCACCGTGAGCACCTCTGAGCTGTCTACACCACCAGCCCACCTCTCCCACTTCCTTTAACCCAGCAAAGTGAGATCCACAGAGGAGACTAGAAAGCACATATGCAGACGGGGGTCAAGAGTCTCACCCAGGCACGTCTGAGTTCTAATTCTCAGGCGGCCACCGTGTTCTCTCTGCAGCAAGAGGGCCTCTCACCCACGCCCCCACTCCCGCCACCCTGCCTGCAGGTAGACAGACGGCACCGACATGCTTGCAAGCCACCCCCAACGTCGGTTCTGTGCTTCTGGCTCTGCGTGCACCTCTGACTGAGAAGTGCATGCGGCACCGTCCCTGCCACAAGCGAGGGGGACACTGCTGGGTGGCTTACCACCCAGCTCGCTCTGGTGCATTCAGGCAGAAGATAAAGGCCTGCTCCCTCCTCTGCACACAGAGATCCCCCTTCACGGAGGGCCCCACGGGAAGGCTCCTTTGCCCTGCCCTCCCCCCAGTGGAAGCTCCTCATCCTTCAAGGCCACACAGGGAAAGACGCCCCGGCCTCTGGACCCTCTGCCCACAGCAACTTGCGGATGCCTCTTCAGCCCCAAAGCCACCGCCTTCCTCTGTCTGATGCTGGGGGGCGGAGCATCCATCTCTGCATCCCCAGCGCATGGGATCGAAGGATCCTAAATACTGTTGTGTCTAACTGAACACGACTTAAATGGGAAGAAGCAAATTCCACTAGGACACACCAGAAGACGGAATAACGTGTTGTCTAATAGACTCTAGCACACCTGGGCTGAAGCCTCTGACAGTTCCTTACATAGTCACAGCGCAAGTCGAACTCCTCTCCTCATCTGCAGAGGCTGGTGCACCTCCCACCTACCCTCGGGTCCCCCTACACCTCGGGTCCCAACTCCAACCTCACCTCAAGCCCCACCCCCCACCTCAGGCCCCACCCCTTAACCACCATTACCATGCTCTGGCTGCATCACAGGGACCTTTCCATACATTCTGCCTTCACAGCTGGGTCCTCTGACAGCCCCACAGAGACCCCTCCCCATCACCCCACCCACTCCCTCCCATCCCCCACCCTGGACTGCCCTCCCCCCCCACACAGAACCACCGGTCACTCGTCGTCGGCCTTCCCTCCCCAGCGCCTAGGACAGACCCTGGCTCGTCATTGACACTGAGCAAGTGAACTTTAACAAGTGCCACGACCCAGCCTCACGTCCCTGGCCTTGAGAAACGCCCGATGCCCCTGGACCAGCAAAGCCCCCAACAAGGAGCATCCCAGGACCACCCTGGAATTTAGCCTTTCATGGGACCAGGAAGAGGCTGGAAGAGAGAAAGGTTGTCTTGGAAGCGCTCAACTCTGCTTGGAGCAGTTTCCGATTTCATCAGAAAGCCCCGATGATGCTAAGAAGAAAACTCAGGGAACAATGGCAGAGTCACGTGCTGAGGGAGCCGTGTGCCAGCCGAGGACAGACGCAGTGGTGTGACTGGAGGATGCGCACCTCACGTCCACGGCCATCCATCTGAGTCGCTCGTCCAGCAGGGCCCAGCCCCCGACCCAGCCTCCGCCCTGACCTGACCTCCCAGGGAGGCAAACCCCCCAGCAGGCACCCCGAGCACAGGGAATGCGCCACAGGGACAGATACCGGGATGGCCAGTGTGACGAGTGGCAGCCTGAGGGCTCTGGGGCCGCCAGGGTGACACTGGGGAGCCGGCCAGCACCAACTCGGGTAAGGCTGCTCAGACAGAGCTGCACCCCTGGAAGTGGGGGAGCACAGACCACCAGGGCTCCAGCACGGCTGAGTTCAGGTTCTAGGAAGAGGCAGGGCTGGGCCCGAGACCACACCGACTGCGGTGCTAGAGGCCCTGCTGGCCGGTGCGCCTACCACCCTGGTTTCCTCCTCGAGGCTCTGAAACACTCCTTTGTGTCTCTCGCCCCAGCCACAGGCCTGGCACACAGCAGGTGCTCAATGGATGTTTGTGGACCGAGGTGGGAACAGGGAGGACATGACGCAAGGCTGGCAGCAGGCAGGGAAGGGGGCGGGGAAAGGCAGGGAGCCCGGTGGAGCGGGCAGGGCAGAGGTTTGGAGTGAGGCAGGAGCACAGCGTGCCCAGAGCGGCTGGGGCTTCGTGTCTGGGGGGAACGCAGGCACCCTCTGGCGTTTGAGCCACAAGGGACATCGCCCTACGTGAAGCAAAGGGCGGAGACAGAGCGAAGCAGAGTGCCCGCGGCTCACCGTCTGCTGCAGGTCCTGGATGACCACGCGGATCACCAGTGTGTTGCCCTGGCTCTCCTCCGTCCTGGCGTTGCCCGGCTTCTCCGCAGTGGCCCGGATCGTGTCGTAGATGGTCTCTTCTTTGGAACTGTCTGATTCCGACCCCACGGAATAGTCGGAGAAGCTCTGAGCCATCTCGTCCTCGCTGGACGTGGGGCTGCGCGGCATGGCTGCCCGTGTCTGCGGGGTGGAGAGGGAAGAACACAGGCAAGAGGGAATGTGAAAACTCAAGACAACCCAGGGACGTGGTGCAGACTGGCACACGAAGGAGCGTGGGCTCGTTTTCACACTCCGTATTTATCGGTGTGACGCCGGCCCAAGGCCACCTGTGTGTGCAGACAGGACCCTGAAGGCAGCAACAAGCTGGCACCGCTTGCTCCTCCCCGGGCCTGAGCCCGGAGCTGCAGCAGCCGGGACCCTGGGAGACCCCGCGAGCTCTGGCCTCTGCGCTGTGAAACCCGGCGTTTAAAAGGAGCCCAGACTAACCTTGGGGATGACCACAGACTACAAGGATTAGCCAAAGGGCCGCCGGGGCTGTCTGAAACTTCCCAAGGTGAGAAAAAAGGCTGCCTTTTGTTTTCCTTTGAGGGTAGAGCTGCAGGAGACGAAGGAATGCGGCTTCGGGTCAGAGTGGTGGCAAGTTCATGCTATAATAACCCCCCTGCTTCAAGCACAGAGCAATGAGAGGTACCGTGTAAAAATAGAACAAAAAGGCAGGGCCAGGCTCAGAAATGACAGAATCTCTGGGACCAAAAGTGGAGAGGAGCCCAAAGTCGTGAGCAGGCTGAAGCCAGGAGATTCGGGGTCCCCACGAGGTGGGGGCAGCTGGAAATGCGGCTTCCTCAAGGTCAAGTGCAATGGAAGTTCCCCAGCAAAGACCCAGGGCAGGCTGCTGAAGCCACCATGGACCGGGGCTTTCAGTGACCACTGAAAGGACACAGAACTCTGAGAACAGGTTGCCCGCTATTTGGGGACCACATCTGTGACACCCCATCTCTGTGGGAAGGGGGTCTAGACAGATAAAAGTTAGCTTGAACTGGGGGTGCCAGGGGCCTGGTGGAGGTGCCACGTGGACCTGGCGCTACGTCAGACCAGCAATTCCACTTCTGCATAAATTCTATAAGGGAGATCAAGGGCGTGTGTACACGGGAAGATGTATAAGACTGTGCCCTGCAAGAACAGTGCTATCCCAGGCAGATGGGGTCCTACGGCCACCCTAATCATCTTGGGAGTGCCTGATAAATTGTGGTCTCTTCTTCCCATGAACTCCACAGGGCTGTGAATGCATGAACCCAAGCTACGGATGGATAATCCCAAAAACATAACACTGAGCAAAAGGAAAGCAATTTGCAGAATAATTCAAACAACAGAATATCACGTCTGTGTAGATAACAGCTAGGAAGATGCAACACAATTCTACACATTGTACATGGACACGTTCACCTGGCATCATGGCGTGGAAGCAGTCGACCGGAAAGGTAAATGCTCAGCTCAGGAAAAGGGTTCTCTCTCGGGGGGAAGGAGGGGGATGGCAGAGCTTGCCACGCTGCGTGGAACCATCTACTTCCTTGAAACAGTTCCAGCAAATATGACAAAATGTTAACCTTTGATACAGCTGGGGACACAGGTGTTTGCTGTATTATTCCCTATGTTTCTCTCTCTGTGTGTTGGAAATCTTTCATGGCGGAAGTGAAGAAGGAAGGGCGGAAGAAGTGTAGGTAGCAGAGTCTGCCACCCCAGAAGATGCCACGTTGGCACGAGGACTGTTTCGAGCTGACGGTGACTGAGAATCGGCAGCTGCAAGATGAACTCGCTTCCCTCCCCGATGGGCTCAAAGCAGGGGGTAAACTTACAAAAGTGTCCCCCTCCCTTCTCCACCGGGAAGAACCAAAGGTCATCACCAGAGACGGTGTTAGACCCTATCAGCCCAGAGAGACGGCACAGAGAATCTGTGCAGCAAACTTCAGTAGCTGGCCTTTATCCGCCATCCTTTCCCAAACATTCGCCATCCTCCAAGTTGCCTCTCCAGAAGCTCAAGGTCCCATCTGCCCAAGCCCAAGTTCCAACCACCCCTCTGAGACTCCCTCCACGGAGCTTTCTCCCACAGATGTGCCCTGCACACCTTGATAAATGGTTTCTTCTGTGAATCTGGCTTTTGTCAGTTCGATTTACAGGGTCCCAGAGAACCTAGGAGGGTACCAGGAAAAATATTTTTTCTTCCTCTGCAGAAGGAAAGAAGGGAGGGAGAGAGGGAGGGAGGAAGGAAGAGGGGGTGATGGACGGATGGTGTGTGGATGGATGGGAGATAGCAGGGGGGCGGGTAGGTGAGTGGGAGACGGACGGGAGGGGGAATGACAAGGATACCTAACAAGACCCTTTGTAATACAAGATAACTCTGTGGACAGGGATAACAATGGCATTGATGATGATCCAAAATCAAGAGTTTAAAATTCTATTCTGACTCTGGCTATAAATTAAACTATATTCACTGTACATCAATTATACATGAGTAACCCACTGGAGGTGGGGTGTGGCTTTAATCGCCAATGACCACTCTGTCTCTGCACGATCTGTACTGTAGTCTACAGCTTTCATAGCACCTTGACCCGAGGGTCTCCTCCCCTCCGTGTCACCCTCGGAGCAGCACAGAAGCAGCAGCTGCTCACGTCCGTGCGACGGCATCAACTGCGGGCACACGTCCCGGTGTCTGACTCCAGGCGCTGCAGCTGGGCTCTTCTAACACAATCTCTGCTGTGCTTTCTCCTAGGACTCGTGGCCTGCTCAGCGTGGGGAGGTGGGGAGAACACCCCACCCTCTGGTTTAGATCCTCCACAAGGCACTGCATGAGCAGGGGACAAGGGGCACTGTTTCTTACCCTCTCAAGTGCCTAAAGTGGGAGCGGGCTTTATAGACATCCTGAACACTCGGGAGTTCTCGCGTGAACACCTGGATTTCAGTCTCCAGGCCCAGCCACCCCGGCCCCACCCCTGCCCACCTGGCAGCCACACGGGCCTGGGCTGCACTGCCCCTCTGGGGGGGGAAGAGGAACAGGGTTCGCCCAGCCCAGCTGCCATCACCTCCACACGTGGAATCCACTGCCCTTCACCACCCAGGCGCTGCCGCTCATTCTGGGCACAGCTCAGCTGCCAGACTGACCCCAGGCCCCAGCAGAAGGGTGGGTTTGTGGACCCTGCTCTAGCGCTTTATGACAGGGGACCCTGGGAGTGCTCAGGAATGTCCCAGAGAGGACACAGTTGGTTCACCAATGCTAACACTCGACCTCCAGTTGAGGGAAAGCTGATGCCAACCATCTACTTCCAGAGTTTACTGAACAGCAAACAAACGCCCCGCGGGAAGCGTGCCGGCGCTCCGCCTGTGACCCTGTGAAGGCGCTTCTGCACAAGCCACCGCTGTGCGTCCCAAGCGGAATAACACAGAGCTGCAAAGGAGACACTCCAGAAACGCAGGCTCCTCCCCGAGGAATTGCCAGACCCCGACTGGGGCCGGGGGCTCCGTTACCACCAAGAAGATCCCGAGTGTCTATAGAGGGGGGTCCAGCTCCTGGGGCCAGGGACACAGACGCTATTTGGCGTGACCCACCCACTGCTGGCCTGTACGGGGTTTCGAATGTTTACTAATCCAGAGATTTTGCATGAAAACCCCGACTTCTGACTTATTTCCACCATCAGGAGGGCCTGGCAAAGTGGGAGGCTGCCACGTGGCACCAAGGGCAGCAGGGAGTTGCAGTGACCTCCCTGGGCTGGGCAGCCCCACCAGGTCCTCAGAGAAGTGCGGAGATTCTAGACCACCTGCTCTCACGCCCCCCAACCCCCACTGGCATTCCCTTCCCACCAGGCTGTGAGCTAGAGCCCCGGGCCACAGGTCTGGGCTCCTTTCTGTCTCCTGCCGGCCGCTCCGTCAGCCCAGCCAAAGGGAGAGCCACAGAGCCAATAAAACATCTCAAGCAACCATCCCAATCACCCAGGAAGCTGGGTTTTTTAAGTAAAAATTCTGAAGTTCACCCTAGTGTCATTCGGAATTGACATCCCGGGGCACATGCGTATTCCTGCATTCACTGGCCAAATGCTTCATATTATAATTTCAGCTTAAAGTTTTCACAACCACAGATGTACAAAATCTGGTGAGGGAAGAGGGAGTGGAGTTCGAAGACAGGATGTGGGTAGGCCCAGCCCCTTCAGTAGGGCCCCAGCCTCGGGGCAACGTCTAGTAACTGATTCGTGCACACATTCATTCATTCATTCACCATCCACATGTGAGTTACCACATGTAAGTGTCAAAATAGTGCCCGGTACACAGTGTGAAATATTTATAATTGTCATTAATTCCAGCCATGTCTCAGGTTCTGATGAAGCGTGTCCAGTTTTCACCCTGATTGCACAGGGAAGTTACTCGGACAGCTTTAAAAAAAAATACCAGCGCCAAAAATTCTGATTTAATTGGTCTGGGTTGACGCCCCAATATCGACGCTGTTTTTGCAAAGTTCTCCAGGTGATCCAGTGGGCTTCCCGGCTGGGAGTCCCAGCTCCGGACCAAGCCTGAGCCGAGTGTGCAGGTCTAACCCTAAAGGACGTGGCAGCAACACGGAGAGACCCAAAGTGAACTGGAATCAGCCTTCTCCTCTGGCTAAGGGGGCCATGTCCTGAGCTGCCCAAGACAGCACAAGAGGCTCAGCATTTGCTGCCTAAGTGGTCACGATGGACACAGGACAGCCGAGCAGGCCCCCGCTGCTAGGTTTTGCTACTCTGGGGTTCCAGTAGATTCCTTCTGTGCTAACAGGTGTAACTGACCTCAGTGTGGCTTTGGCTCCACTTAAGAAGGGGTCCTTCTGGTCCCAGCTGGGTCCAAGAGAAAGAAAAAGACCAGAGACGGAATGGGGCGTGTCACACCCACATAGGAGGGTCAGTGTCTGATGAGAGCAGGGGCCATCGTGTTTCTGGGCAGTAAGGCCTATGGCAGAGGCAGGGGCGTCACTAAGGACACGGTCCCAGGCACACCCGCTGCCCCACAGCTCTTCCCACCCAGGGCGAGCGTGGGTTCCTCTGCATCAGCCCACAACACCCCAGAAGGTGACAGCCTTCGGGACAGTGTAGGCCTGGACCTGGTGCCTTCGTGGGAGGAGCCTCCATGTTGGCATCTGAGAAACGAGCACGAGAGCCCCAGCTGAGCACCCGGCACTGAGCAGTCACGGCCCAGGCCACACCGGTTCCGCCCCTGCACAGGACATACGACATCCTACTCGCGAGAGCAGGCAAGAGGCTCCCCAGGCTCCAAGCTGCTCCCTGGGTCTGGCACAGGAAGCCTCCGTCAGCAGCCCAGGTGGG